TAAAATCAGGAGATGTGTGGGGTTCTAGTCAGAATTAGCATGATAGGCTGCTCTTGGTTACATTATAAGCCCACCCTCCAGAGTATCAAAAATGCAAAATGATAGCTATGGCCATGCTATCAAAGCATGAAGCAGACACTCCCGAATTTCATTCCAAATCATACATAAAATAGTACAGTGTGTCCTATCTGACCAGGATTGGCTAGAAGTTATGGCACAAGGTCAAAAGGTCTTGACGGGTAGAGCTGTAAAGATCCAGAAAGTGGAAGAAGGTCTATCTTGACACATCCATATTAAAATAACTTAAGTTATATTATCAAGAAACATTTTCCAAATGTCTTAACTTTCATTCTTAAGGAATAGATTTTATTATGTATACAGATTAGTTTTTGTGCAAGAAATGTATGTCTGTGCTACCACCTGGTGGAAATGTGGGATCAAAACAAGATGAAGCAATGCACTGAAATAACTTCAAAGCTGAATTACTGTGTTTCCCCAAAATTAAGACCCGATCTTTTTTTTTCCTCCAAAAGAGGCACTAGGTCTTAATTTTGGAGAATGTCTTATCTTAGGACCATCGCAGCCAGGCCTCCCACACCCCAACACCTGTCGCACTGCTGCTTGACTTCTTCTGCGGCCGCTTGCCACCACTAGTGGCCGGACGCCATGTGGCACATTGTGCCATTGCCGCTCCTCCTGGCAGGATACTGCATGGTGCTTCAAGGCTGCTTCTGCTGCTTGCCCAGCGCTTTGGGACGCTTCCGTTGCTCACGCACTTCAGGCCGCTGCGGATGCAACAGAAGCGACCCAAAGCACATGAGCAACAGAAGCATCCCAAAGGGCTGCGCAAGCAGCAGAAGTGGCCCGAAGTGCACGAGCAGCGGAAGTGGCCTGAAGTGCCATAGGGCATCCTTCTGGAAGGACCAGCAATGGTGCAATGTGCCACATGGCATCCGGCTACAAGTGGTGGCAAGCGGCTACAGAAGTCAAGTAGTGGCATGACAGGTGTCGGGGTGTGGGAGGGCTGGCTGTGGTGGTCCTATTGGTAAGGTAAGCAGGTGTGGGGCCCGTGGGGCAGCTTCACATACCCCTACCCCCAACCTAGCTTGATTTTTAAGGGGTGCCCCTCATCCCAAAACTAGGGCTTAGTTTTAGAGTAGGGCTTATATTAGGCCCACCCCCAAAAATCAAGCTAGGCTTACTGTCGGGCTGGGTCTAACTTTTGGGGAAACATGGTAGTTGTCAAAAACAAAGCCAGAGTCTGGGACATCCATCAGATGCTTATCTAAACACATTCTACTTGTGCCTTCTCTGTGGAGAATCGTTATGTTTCTTTATAATGCTTGTGAGTCTTGTCAGTGTCCTAGAACAGGGATCCCCAACCCCCGGTCCATGGACCAGTACTGGGCCACAGCATGCCAGCAACCAGTCCACAGAAACAAGCAAAGCCCCATCTGCGAGATGCAGGCAGCACACAAAACCACGCACCCTCCGGTCCATGGAAAAACCTTTTTCCATGGAACTGATCCCTGGTGCCCAAAAGGTTGGGGACCTCTGTCCTAGAAGACTCTATACGGCACTTATAAGACCATTAAGATTTTGAAAATTGTATTTAAAAATACTATTGTTACGCAAGCCTAGGTCTTTTTTTAGATATAAAAGACACAGAATGAGACCGAAAGAATTCAAGGTCTGCTATTCAAATTATTTATTAATTGTTCCTAACAATTCAGGAGTAATACGTCTTGACTTGGCTTCAGGTATGCCTTGACTTACGACCATTATTTAGCAACTATTTGAAGTTTCAATGGCTCTGAAAAAAAGTGACCTACTGTACGATAGGTTCTTGCACTTATGACTGTTGCACTTTCCCTGTGATCCCGTGATCATGATTTGGATGTTTGGCAACCAGCATGTGCTTACAATGGTTGCAGCATCCTGTGGTCACGTGATCACCATTTGCAGCCTTCTTAGGGGGCGTCTGACAAACAAAATCAACGGGGGAAGTCAGATTCACTTAACAAGTGTGGCAGAAAGATCATAAAACCAGGTCTGGCTTACATCACAGCTGCACTGTTTAGTGACAGAAGTTCCAGTCCCAATTGTGGTTTAAGTTGAGGATTACCTGTATCCAACAAAACATATCAACCAGAACAGAAAAAAAGTTATGTAAAAAAATATGTTTTTTATTTAAAGATAGTGATGTTTACTCCATGTTAATTTGTATCCCTAGTTAGGCCAAAAATTTGCCTTTCTTTTCCACAGTTGCGTTTTGTAGGTGTTTCTAAAAAAGAAACTATGAAGAAGTAGAAATAATCTTGCCCTTTATATGAGTATTATGTATATTAGCTCCCAGATTTAAAGTCTGGGTCCTTGTGTGAGGATTGGTGATTAGCCTTCCAGTTTCAGCACTTACAATAACTGCCAGGAACTGGAGAGGGATCTTGGGGTTCTAGTGGACAATCACCTAAATATGAGCCAACAGTGTGTGGCAGCAGCAAAAGAAGCCAATGCAGTCCTGGGCTGCATTAAGAGAGGGATAGAATCAAGATCACATGACGTTCTAGTACTGCTTTACAGAGCCTTAGTAAGACCACACTTGGAATACTGCATCCAGTTCTGGTCACAATAAAAAAAGATGTTGAGACCCTGAAAAGAGCAAAAAAGAGCAACAAAAATGATTAGGGGCTGGTGACTAAAACATAGAAATGGTTACATAAATTGGGTATGTCTGATCTAATGAAAAGAAGGACTAGGGAAGACATGATAGTTCAATATTTGAGTGGCTCTTACAAAGATGAGGGGGTCAAACTATTTATAAAAGCACCAATAGGCAAGACAAGAAACATTGGATGGAAACTAAGCAAGGAGACAAGCAACCTAGAACTAAGGAGAAATTTTCTAATGATGAAAGCAATTAACCATTGAAATTTATTAGAAGTTGTGGCGCTCCATCATTGAAGGCTTTCAAAAAGAGGCTGGACAACCATTTGTCTGAAATGATATAGGGTTTCCTGCTCTAGCAGGGAGTTGGACTAGAAGACCTCCGAGGTCCCTTCCAGCTCTATTATTCTATGTTCTATGTTCTAATATTGTGGCTTGTTCACTGTTCTGAGCCTACCAGTGTCTTAGTTTTAATAAGGAGTCTAAAGAAGGTGAAAATGTTGAACAGAGGAATGTGACCCCATATGATAATTAAAAAGCATCCCTTTATTAACGCAAACATGAAGTTTTAGAAGTGTGTTCATTTTTTAATACATCTCAATTCCTGACAGCGACTATAATTATTCATCATCATCATCATCATCATCATCATCATCATCATCATCATCATTTTAACCATTTTCTGTCCACTGCAGGATGAAGGCCTCTTTCGCGTATTTCCAACCAATACAGTTCTGAGCTTTCTTTTGCCAGTGGGGCCCACAATATTTGCTGATGTCATTGATCCATCTTGTTTTAGGTCTCTTTTGTGGACGCTTTTTATCAAGTGGGATCCATTCTAGGACTGCCTTGGTCCACCTGCCATCAGTTCTTCTTGCTATGTGACCAGCCCATTTCCATTTCAATTCTTTTACTCTCTTGACAATATTGTATACTTTTGTTTGTTCTCTAATACACATGCAGGTCTTTCTATCTTGTTTTGAAATGCCAAGCATGTATCTTTCCAGGGCTCTTTGCGCCACTCATAAGTTTTGTATCAATTATGAGGTTAGTATCCATGTTTCACTGGCATATGTTAGAGCAGGTAACGCACACCAGTAGACAACTTTTCTCTTCGAGCATAGGGGGACCTTGTTCTTGAAAATTATGCTTAGCTTGCCGAATGCCTGACAACCACATTTAACACGCTGTTCAATTTCCTTTATTATATCACCTTTCACTGAGATCTGAATGGCCAAGGCATATATAGTGGTCTACTACGTCTAGTTCTTTTCCAGATATAGTTTTTTCCTTTCGTTGGTAAATTTATTAAACATAACCTAGCTCTTTTTCAGGTTTATTTTTAAGCCAAATGATTCTCCTGCTTTGTGCAGTTCTTTGTAGCTCTTCTCAGTCTTGTGAGAAGAAACATCATCTGCAAATCTTAAGTGATTTAAATAGGCGGCATTGATTTTTATTCCATCTGTTGCCCAGTCTAGTTTCCTAAATACTTCTTCAAGGCAGGCTGAGAAAAGGATATGTGATATTCAGTCCTGGTTATTACTTAATGGGAATTAGCCATTAATCCCTACTCCTTTCCACAAAACACGACAAGTATTGGCATATCAATTTAATAAATAAATAAATAAATAAATAAAACTTGATAAGGCAGGCAGTTGGGTCTTCCTTAGGCATTATCAATGGAATAGCATTTATATCCTACCATTTCACCACCGTTCCTGCACCCACAATATGTGTTGCCTGAAGCAACCACCTGTCTCTATTTTATCACAGCAGGTTAACTTGCCACCCCTGAAATAATCAAAATGTCAATTGAGAATGTAGGGTTAACCTGGCAGCTCATAACTAATTCATATAAAAGCATGCAACTGAATTTTAGTTTTATAATAATCATCATGGTAGCCTGAATCTGTTGTTGAACTGAAATGTTGATAAGAAATAAAATATTTGAGTACTCCAGCAATCTTGCGCATTCAGAACTGGAAAATCAAGCAAATTAACTTGCTTGATTTTGATCCTATTACCTATTTCCTTAGTTTCTTATGACTATAACTTTGTTATTTGTATCTCATGATTTATGTTGATTGTTTTTATTAGTATATTATGATTTATGTTGTTTATTTAGTATCCTATGACTATCACTAAAGGTTTATGATGAATGTATTTTATGATTATGATCATAATTTATCACTTGTTGCTTGTATATACATCGAGAGCTTATGCATCGGAAACAAATTCCTTGTGTGTCCAATCACACTTGGCCAATAAAATAATTCTATTCTATTCTATTCTATTCTATTCTATTCTATTCTATTCTATTCTATTCTATTCTATTCTATTCTATTCCTTGTCTTGTCTATTTTATTAAACCGCCTAATTATTGGACATTCAACAATCCAGGATGCAGTTATTGGAGTTGTTTTGGCCTCCTCTTTGCTTTAAACAGGGTTATATTTAAACTAGGAAAATCAGAAATCATTTCTAGATGGAACAGTTTTTTGAATTGGTCCACAAACGAGTTTTCACTTTCCAGTCTGAACCGCATGGCCCAGATGATGGTGGTATTATCCATACACAAATGATCGAAGGTTAGAAGCAGCTCTTCCAAGTAAGGGTGGTGGTATACAACATCAGCAGCCAATATGTAGTCAAACTGATATGAAGACCTGGGAAAATTCTTCTGCAGGTCCACCCCCCAGACCAATGCTTTCACCTGAGGCTCATGTTTGCATTTCAGTTTTGTGTTTCTGAGAAGATTGTACTGAAGGTTTCCTAGCACTTCAGGCAAGTCAGTGGAAATCACATGCGCACCTGTGACAAAAGGGATCACAATGACATTATTTATTGAGAAGCATTGAAGAAATTAGTGCAAATTATTTTTATAATTCTCTGTGGCATAAGTAAAAATGATGAACTGTGGCCCACTGCAAGAAATACAATATTCTTATGTGTTCTCCAATTCCTTACTTGATGAAATTCCAGGCCAGTTTTGGATTATAGTTTTGTAATATTTATTTAGCTTACAACTGTGAGCGGAGCAAACTTGAGCAGAAAGGCTTTCTGATAATGTGACACTCCATAACTGTACATTAACTTTGTAGGCTCAATGAATCAGTATGGCCTTATGATCATATTGTCAAACTAGTCATGGAACTCACTAGATAATTTTAGACCATTTACTACAAGCTCTTCCATGCAACCGGACTAAAGTGTTACTATCCAAGCAGGAAGTCAGCAGAAGACTACTCTGGTTGCATTTCCAACCTCTGACTCTGCCTTAGCCATAAAGCAGAGTAAGGTTCCTGTCCACATTGGGACAGGATGTGTGTGTCTGCAGGAACTTTTTGCTTTCATCAAAATAATAGCAATTAACACCATATTGCCTTGCTGGAAGGTTGATCACTTTGGATTATATGTGCAACTTCATGCCACTCATACAAAAGGGAGAGGACTCACATCATGACAAGACAATGCTGCTCTTAACATTATGTCCCCACTTAACATCCATCCTGCAAATCTGTTGGAGGTAAAGAAAGCCAATCAAAGTTTGTTTTTATCTTAGACCAGAAGTTGGGGAAAAAGAAAGCTGAGGATTGGGGATGGAGCAGAGAGAAGGAATGTCTCTGTTAGTTCAAGTTACTGCTGTTAATTTTCCAATCCCAGAGAGGGATCTTTCCATGGCAATAAAGAACTGGAAGAAAACGAATAACTTTTCCTTCTTTCTTTTACCTCTCTCTTCTGCCACCCATGAGTAGCAGAAACCATGGAGAGTGGGGAGGGAAAGTCCTACATCTCCCCATAGAAAGGCAGCTATAATATAATTTCCCCACTTCTTTTAATATCCAGAAAGGAAAAATAGGATGGAAGCAACACTCCCAAGGTAAAGCTGCCTGGCAGGGGGGGAGGGATGCAGAAGAGACCCACAGTGGGCAGCTTCTCTGGCTATCCTCATGTACATGTAGCTCCATGATGAAGTTGCACTGACTTCCTTCAGCATTATCATTTTGGCCAGCAGGATTGTCAGGCAGCCAAAGGTAGGTTGAAGAAGCAGCTTTTTATATTTATTTATTTATTTTATTTATATTTGGATTTATATCCCGCCCTTCTCCCGTAGGACTCAGGGCGGCTGACAATCAATTAAAAACATAAATAACAGTACAAATTTAAAATTAATTAAATTAATTAATCCCCAATTAACGCAGGGCTTTTTGCATTGGCTCCTCAGCCCGCCAAAACCTTATCAGACCATGTCCTTTAGTTCGCACACTTCTACATTGTTATGGCTAGCTAAACCTTCAAGCATTTACCTCTTCCCCCCTTCTACATCTGAATTCTAAAGGAATAGAAAAGGCACGTTAGAAGCAAAAGTAAAAATGGCTGCTGGTTCGCAGTTGTCAGAGCGACGACATCCATTGTCACACCATTGACATCCGTTCCCCCTTAACAGAAAGGAGTAATTCTGCAGTTTAAACAGAAGCATAGGTTAAGGGTTGCCCCTTGGCTTGTTGGGGTGTTTATCATAGAATTTACGGATGGGCCTATTAGCCTTCACATCATTGGATTTCACCCATGTGGCCTCTGATAATGGATATCCCTTCCACTGAACTAAATATTGCAATTTTCCTTTACAAATCCTAGAATCAAGGATACCTTTTACTTCATAATGTGTTTGTCTAGCTATCACTAGGGGACCAGGTGCTTTTTGCAGAGGGGGTCGTGAAGTAAAATCCCTGAATGGTTTTAATAAACCAATGAAATACAGAGTGAATCTTCCCTAAAAGTCGTGGGAGTTTCAACTCTACCGTAACTGGATTTATGATTCTGACAATAGAGAAGGCACATAGGTATTTCGGCCCCAACTTCTTACTAGGCAACTTAAGTCGTAAACATTTTGTGGATAAATAAATATTTTCCCCAACATGGAAAGATTTCTGGGGAGATCACTTTTTATCAGCCTGTTTTTTATATGTTTCTGAGGCTTTTTCAGCACTTTTTGTTTTGTCCCAAACCTCCCCCCATTTTGACATCCATTGGTCAAGAGTCTGGGAGGTAGAGGGTCCTTGAGGATACTGAGGTGTTGGGTTGAATTCTTTTCCTGTGGCAATCTTAAAAGGAGTGAAATCAGTGCTGCTATGAACGATATTGTTGAAAGCCACCTCAGCAAAAGGGAGGAGGTCAGTCCAGTTTGTTTGTTGGTAGTCCACATAGCACCTAAAGTACTGCTCCACCATTGAGTTTGCTTTTTCAGCCACCCCATTTATAGACAGATGAAAAGCCAATGACAATTTATATTTATTTATTTATTTATNGTCGAATTTAAAATATAATTAAAACCCCCCTAAAAATTACCCTAGGCCAGTCCTGCAAGCTGGAATAACCAAGTCTTGAGGGCGCGGCGAAAGGAAGGGAGATCAGGGATAACCCTGATCTCTGGGGGCAGTTCATTCCAGAGGGTGGGAGCTCCCACAGAGAAGGCCCTCCCCCTTGGGGTCGCCAGCCGGCACTGTCAGGCTGACGGCACCCTGAGGAGACCCACTCTATGGGAGCGTACCGGTCGATGGGAGGTACTCTGCGGCAGGAGGCGGTCTCGAAGATATCCGGGTCCGATGCCATGGAGCGCTTTAAAGATGATAGTCAACACCTTAAAGCGCACCCGGAAGGCCACAGGCAGCCAATGCAGCTCGCGCAGCAGCAGTGTCACGTGGGAGCGCCGAGTCCCCCCCAACACCGCCCGCGCGGCCACATTTTGGACCAGCTGGAGCCTCCGGGTGCTCCTCAAGGGGAGCCCCATGTAGAGAGCATTACAGTAGTCCAGGCGGGAGGTGACAAGTGCGTGAGTGACCGTGCGTAGGGCGTCTACTGAGACTTTAGCCCTCAGCTGCTGGGAAGGTGACAGAAAGCAGGATCAAAAGTTGCAAAAAGGAAGCATCTCTGAAGGAAGCACATCTTCTGTTGGGGAAGTGGGCCTTCTTAGTGCCAGGAGAACAGTCACCAGAAAGACAGATTTCCCCTGCTTCTCCTTTCCACCCCACTACACCTGCCTACATCTGATTAAAGTAAATTGTGGAAAGGGGAACAATGGGGATCGGAATCCTGTTAAAAACTAGGGGGAATTATCTCTTTATCACTGACACAATTCCCAGTCTGAATGGATTTCTTGAATCCATAGTTCAATTGCAGCTCCCATTTTTTCCATTTAAAGCACGTAAATATAAAATCTGTACAGTCAATTTTGCACCTGTTTTTTCCACCTGTTTTATGTCCCTCAAGAAACCAGCATCACATGTGCTATTTTTAAAACGGAGGGCACAGCAGGAGATACTACCACTTACCTAGCAAGCTGGCTACTATAGAGACAAGGCCTGTTCCAGCTCCAATTTCAATAACATTTTTGTCAACCATGTTACAAAGCTTCACATTTGTTTCCAAAAAATAGCATAGAACAAGAGCCTGAGAATAAAAAAGAACAAGAATAAATTGGCAATTGGCAATTCTGAAAAAGAATAACGAAACAATGCCTTTAGCCCAACAAGGCCACCCTTTAATTACTATAAAGTAACAAAGAGGAGAAAAACTTTAGTGTATATGAACAAAAGAATCTCTTGACACAAAAATATGTATGAAAAGCATGAATCTTAGAAAGTTAGAGAAATAATCAGAAGTTCAAGTTTGTTTTATATGAACTAGTTTTAGACAATTGGCAAATCTAGAGTTTTTCAGATTATTTGAATTATAACGCTCCATAACTATTAATCAACATGCCAGGGGATGGTGAGATGTGCAGCCCAAAACATATGGAGAGCAATAGATTACCTTCTTCTGCTGTAAACTGTAAAAACTCATATGTTGTTTTCCACAATTAATTACAAGGGGAACCTATCTGGCCTATTTAGCAAAGGATCTTCTTGCACCATGTTATTAATTCCTGACTATGTCTATTCTAAGCCCTGCCAAAATTGTTATAGGTGCCATTCTGGATAGCTAGCATACTACTGCCAAAAATGGAAACTAGGAACAATATAGTGCTCAGAATTAAAAGGGGCAAAACATGCATACCATGTGAGGGATTTAAAACTGGACTTCCTGAGATTTATTTTTCTCCTTGTTCTTTAAATAAAGTGCAATGTGAGCCACTAATTTCTACAAGACAATGGAACTGTCTCCATCTATTATCATTCTATCTAGCTGAATCATGGGTAGCAAAGCACACATGAATAACTACCAGGATCAAATGTCATTTCACCTTAAGCCAACTGCTAATAAGCTAATTGCTACTATTTTTGTTTCATTCTTTTTTTCATTCCTTTGTTTCAACTGTAAACTTTACTAATTGGCAGATGAACATTTGCTTTGAAATAACACCTTTTACGCTTGATATCTAATGTTTTTAAATTACAATATAAATGTCACACCGTACATTATTTTCAGATTCTGGTATCTTCTTTAATAAAATGTTTAGGATCATACAAACCCATTACACAAGTTGTTTGTGCAGGGTTGGAACAAAGGCCTATGTAAATCAGATTGAATTTCCAGAGTGATGAACCAAATGTCTATTGGAAGCCCTAGTAAAATATACTGTATATTAGACACATCTAATTGTCTGAGTTTGTATGCTTCCATGTGCCCTTGACCCATGCTTTTACAATCAGGATGATTGTGCTGAAGTTAATGTTTGGAGCAAACTGGTAGCAGTTTGCTGGGGAGGCAGGAGAGGAGAATGATATTATCTAGTTCAGGCATGCTGGCTGAGGAATTCTGGGAGTTGAAGTCCACAAGTCATAAAAGGGCCAAGTTTGAAGACTCCTGATCTAGTTGCAAACGGCTGTAATTAGAGGAAGTTGAAATCAAATGGGGATAAGAACCTCCAGAAAGAGCAAATAAAAGATGAGATTAAGAGGAAATGAACTGTGCTGCAGACAAAAAGTTGGACAGCTTGGAGCCAATGAAAGAATATAGAATTGGAGACTTCTTGACAAGGAAGCTAGTTGTCCCAAAGGGTAAATTGGCATAAAAAGTATTCAGAAATTAGAAAACTGTAACAATGAGCTGGAGAACTGGGACTGGAGAAGAGCTGAAGACGTTTAGTCTAGAAGGTTACTCTAGAAAGGGGGAGCTTAAGGAGAATAAGACAAGAAAGAAAGGTTACTTGAGAGTAAATAAGAGCTGGGGATGGAACACAAGGCTTCTCTCCCTGTAGCATTCTGCTCAACTGGGTCTCCATCCTTGCAAGTGTGTTTGGAAGTACAAATTATCATCGGCAATTCTCAATCAGTGAAAGAAAGGGAAAGGCTGATGGATTTTCACCAACAAGGAAAAAGTCCAGTGGGGAAATATTGAGACTTCAAGACCCAAAAGGAACAGTGGACAAAGTCAAACAGCAGGAGAGGGGGAGGTCCAGCCCAAAAAAAGCACTCTGACAGTGAGATTTGGATGTTATAACAGAATTAAGAATCATCTAATGAATGATTCATGGCTAAATGCTTCAGAAAATGCAACATGTGAATGACATACTTTTTAATTTGAAATATAGGCAATGGTCATAAAGAGCAATGTAGAGCAAATTAAAATCTGGACTGAAACTGCCTAGGAACATTACTGATAAAAGAGAGATGGGGTATGCTTTTAATAAATCTAAAATAATTTCATATTTCTGATATTTGGTAAATTACATTGTCAAATGATTCCCTTTTGATCCGTGAATATTAAATCTACCCAGGAATAGAGACGTGGAAGTCCCTAACCTTAATATACCACTGTGTGTGGATTTTCCTCATTTATATTTTTGAGCATTATATTTTTCAAATTTTACACAAAAAATCCAAATACATGTAGTGCTTGTTTAACAATCAGAATTGGTATCAGTAATTCTGTGACATGGTTGCTACATGGGAAATCACATTACACAACTATGCTTTCCTTTTTTTTCTTCACTCTCCCTCCCTTTGGAATGCTCACCCCAGCACTGAGATAATTACCAGGAAGAGATTTAATAGTTATATTTACATTCATTGGGGAGGAAGGGACAATAAGAGAGTATTCAGGCACACAATGGGATATATACATCAAAACATGTGTTAACATCAATTGCTTGCCTAGTATGCTTGGGGTTGAGAACTGCAACTGTTCTAGGCAAACAGCCAGCACTAATTCATTCCTTTTGATGTGTACTCCCCATTGTGTGCCTGCTTACTCCTTTTTAATCCCTTCCTCTCCAATTTCTCTGCTCTTTGAGGAGGGAAGGAGGGAAAAAAAACAGTGAGGCCCAGGAGAGATTGCTTAAAGAGATTGCTTGTTTAGGCCATTTCTCCACACTGCAAGAAAGGTAAAAGAAGAAAAAGCAGGTCAGGCACAAGACATGCACTAAATGATTTTAATGGCAAATACGTGACTGAGAGAGAGTGCAAAGGTCATAAATATACACCTTGGTTGCAAAGGTGGGGGTTTTTTTGCACCCTTATAGTTGCAAATGGCCATTGCATGAGGCATTTGACAAGTAAAATCTATCTGTATTTCATATATTTAATCATTTGACTTGTGGCCATAGGTGATCAGGCATCCCATGCCATGCAAGCAAAGTAATACAGGAAGGACAAGACTCCATCCTCGTCACCCAACTTGCTTGCTTCCCGTGCTAACTGCAGAGGATAGGTTCTTAGCCCAAAAATAAATCAGAAATTCAGTGGAATGACAGAGAGAGACAGTTCCCTCTGCATCAACAACAAGGAAGGAAGACAAGCTAATTACTTCTATGGGCTTATTTCCAAGGCAGATACAGGCCTGTGGAATACACTGCTATACTTTGTTTCAGATATCAAAGCCAATAATATTGCATGACAACAATACCGAAGGCCAAACCACAGCTCCATAACTGTCTGTAGCTTCCGTAATCTTGATCCTGTGGCCAGCAAAACTGAATTCTTCCCAAGTATGGGTGGTTATCAAAGATGGACAGAAACATCGTCTCATGATCTCTGCAACTATGTCCTCATCTCCATTTTGTCCTAATTTAAAATAACAACAAACACATAACAATGACAGTGACAATAACAATAACAGACATGTTAAAAATAGCAAGAGGCAGATATCCCTTTTAAATATCAAAATATTTATATCAATACTGGTAAAGGATCCCCACAATGAAAGTTTTAATACATTTGTAGACATTATGCACATATTCATAAAACTGTAATAATTTGTTTCCTTTGTAATTCAGTAACAATGAAATAAAAACCCTACTGAAGTAGTCTTGTAATCAACTGAATCTTCATAATTAGGAAACAGATATGGGTCTAGGATAATTGGCTGCAGCCACATGGTCATGCCCACTTCACTCCGCCCCCTCAGCTGACCCACTGTGGATGTTCATCCTCAGCTGGCCTTCTGCCAGCACTCCTCCCCACCCTTGTTGCCCCATGGTCCTCTCTCTCCCCCTTGTCCTGGGCAATTGGTCAAAAGACACTTGTCCCCAGCCAATTTGCAGTGTGGAACCATTAGCTGGGCATCTGGGCAGCCAACCCGCATGCCGAGAGGTGGGCCTCAGCCTTCCCATTGGACGTAGACCCACCACCTCAACTTCCTGAAGTGCTCAAATTCCTTCTCCAGCATTTGGGGCAGGTTATGGACAGGGAAGGAGAGAGAATCTTTCTTTTCGTTGCTGGAAAACCTCTCATGGTGGTGGTATGGGGCATGGGGGGGGGGGGAGAAAACATTGTGGGAAATTGGGGTGAGAGGGCTCCGAGCTCTTCACCAAGAAGGTTTCAGGCAGGGAACTTCCAGCATCAATAGCAGGCAGGCCTGGGTAGGGCAGGAGCGAGAAAAAAACATGGAGATTGCTTTAATTGTCCCCTCTGAAGCTCTTTCACCCTTTGGAATTCCGGTCTCACCCCCCCTACATCCACACCACCCCTGTGCCGGGCGAGGCCCCTGAGAAGTTTTCCAGCAAGGCGAAGAAAGTCTCTCCCTTCCTCCTCCCATCTGTAGCCCACCCCAAACGCCTGAGAAGGAATTTGAGTATTTCAGGAAGCCAAGCTGGAAGGACTGCATCCAATGGGAAGGTAGAGGCCCACTTCTTGGCATGCAGATTGGCTGCCAGGATATGCAGCTAATTGTCCCATGCTGCAAATTGGCTGGCGACAAGTGTCCCTCGGCAAATTGCCTGGGATGAGGGGGCAGGGGAGGAGCAACAGGGACCAGTGGCAGGGGAGAAATGCCAGCAGAGGGGCAGTTAAGGATGAACGCCAGTGGTGAGTCAGTTGCAGTGGGGGGGGTGAAGTGGCCCAACCATGTGGCTGCAGCCAATTGTCCCATTCCAGACTGATAGTTTATTTAAAAGCAGTCAGGGGCTTACAAAGAAAGCCCTCTCTCCAACTTGTTGTCCTCTAAGGACACGTTTGTATATCCCTATTCTAGCACAAATAAGTGTTCCTTGCTTGCTTTTGTAGGTACTTTCTATTAGTGTTTGCCTACAAAGTTAGTAGCTCTTAAGCCCAACTACCTTATAAACTAGAGGTAAGTAACTAATGCCCCTTGATTATAAGCAACCCATCAAGATCTTTATTAAATCATTGATTATTGCAGCAAGTGCTGGTTTTTCTTAAAAGGTTACTATTTCTGGAAAGTTTAACAGTTATAGAAGTCCACAAATCCTTTTAATGCAAAAACCAAAGTGCCTGGCAATCTTAATTCTGTATATTAGACTGACAGAATTATCACTATGCTTTCACATTGCAAGGAACAGACCTTTCAGAAATTGGTATTTTCTACAAAGCTCAACAATCATAGATCCTTCTCAAAATAGCTATATCTGACATTCTGACTTCTGCTTGACAAAGACTGTGATGTCAAAGCCTTGAAGAAAACAAGAAATAACTGCAGCATTGACAAACCAAAAGGCAGACATTTGCACTGAATAAAAATGCATTTTTCTCCACTGAGGAGAATGTGATAAATAATACAGATAATCCTTGCTTAACAGGATTAATTGGAACTGGGATTTATAATGCTATTAACACAGTCATAAAGTACATCATGTGACTTTGCCACTTGTGACAGAAGTTCTGATGCGTCTGGTTACCATCATTAAATGAATCCCACGCTGTTAATCACATCACATGGTGGCCAATTGTTACCTCCTGCCGACTTCCCCATTGATTTTACTTGTTGAGGACACTTCTGTTGAGCTATTGTGATGAACTGACATTCAGCCAGAATACAGGAACAGGTTGAAGCCGAAAACAGTGTCCAAAAATGTTACATTTTATATGTAAATATTTTCACTTTGAGTCTTTCGCAAGTTCTACATGATCCATCTCATTTTGAGCGTTAATGTATATAACTTATTCATTATAGAGTGCTCTGTATTACAAATTTAATTTGCCATGTTCACCTTATGCTCTTCTACTGCTCCTACCCCTCCTTCAAGATTTTTTTAAGTTTTTTCATGCCTTTTAGCTTTTTATATGTAATTTTATTTTGTTCTATCTTTTATCTGCATGCAATTAATACTCTCCAGACCGTGTCTATTTTTTAACTGGGCAAAGGGTGAATCATAGGGCAACAATTTTTTTATCCAAGATACCCAAGTGGGCTAACTTGCAGAATACATCCAAAATCCATCACTCCATAGGATTAAAATTTGGCAAAGCTGTGGCCACTTCAGCACCATGACCCCTTCCAACTACACTTCCCAGAAACCTGTAGGTTGTGCGGCACAAAAGAAAATGGGAGAGGCTTATCCCCCACCCTCCTTCCTGCTTCCCTTTGGCCCCTGTACCCAATTGGATGGCAACAAGGGCTGGCTTGAGAGCACTGGCATCACTGGGTGAGCCTTCTTCTTCCTTGGAGGAAGCAGGCCCTTGGGGACACATCAGAATGAGGATCAAGGGTGTGGTTTTCTTCACAGTACATGGCTCTCTTGGTGCGTCCTCTCCCTAGCAAAGTGACAGGCAATTTGAGTCAGCTGAGGAGGAGAGGACGCCTCATTAGGGCTCTCCTGAGGGCTATGAGAGGAGGGGAAGCAGTGCAAGTCTATATGGAAAGAAAGCTGACCCAATAAGTTACAGATTGTCTACTATGAACTACGAACACGTAATTTTCATGGCAAAAATGAGAGTAGATGATTATTCTCATCTTCTACACTGCTTTTGGGCTTCCGAGCCTAGTATTCCCTGATAATCTCCTATCCAAGTACTAACTAGGCTTAGTTTCCAAGCCCAAAGATAAGCAGAAGTTACTGTCCACAGGTAGTTCTCAACTTATGGTTGATCATATTATGACTTTTCAGTTATAATAGCCTCAGAATGGCCATCATAAAATTTTGCACATGCCACCTCTCCCTCCCCCTCCGGCAATTATATGGCCACATTTTGGGCACTTGGCAACCAACTAGACTTTACGACTGGTTGCAGCAGCCCACAGTAAAATGACAATTTTCAGTGGGTTTTTTTGCCACTTCCATCAGTTGGAAGTAAGGGTTCACTTAACAACCATACCACTTAGTTAATAACTGCAGTGATTTGCTTAACAGTCAATGCAAAAAATGTCAAAAAAATGATTCCATTTACATGGGTGCCTCGATTTACAACAATGACTTACAACCAGATTTCCAGTCCTAACTGTGGTTATAACTTGAGGGTTACCTGTACTGAGAGACTACTATGTACCGGAATATTAAAAATAATATATTCATCTTAGAATGTCAATATGTGGTTATCAACTAAAAAAAACCAGTTTGTCTACCACTGTTGGTGGTTTTGTTGTAAGGTCTGTTACATCATCAGTTAACAAATGTGAAACATAGCAAGCTAGCCACAAAACCAGGTAGAAGAGAGTGGGTAATATTTACCTTTGTTATGGTCTGGCTTTCTAAGTAGTTCATTTGTGATAACACATTTTTGTTGTGAGGATTCTGAATCCATGTCATACAAAGTCCTGGGTACTTAAAGTTAACAATCCTAGAAATGAAACCCAAAACAATAGGTAATAATATAAGAAGTAATAATTAAGACAATAAAATCTGATTCTATGAAGAAGTAGAGCTGTCACATTATCTTCAATAGTCATGTTTTCTTGGTTGGTTGGATAAATAAGAATTTTACTGTAACGGTCAACATCCAGTGATAATTTAGTGGTTAGATTATTATTGGCTATTGATAGGAGTAGCTCCAATAGCAAAGAACAAGTCTAAATTCATGTTAAGGAAAGCCAACTTTGTGGAGAACTATAGATGAATGAATGACATGCTTTTGTATTAGCACCATGTCACATGTCAAGTTTTCACAGATTTTAGCATCTCTCCAAAAGAACTTTACTCAAGAGATGTAAAAACAAACAAACCACCAACAACCCCCCAAACACCTGAGATAAGTTCCTATTCAATCAAAATTGCAAGAGCTATCAAAAGGTAGCTATGACAGTCATAGACGTGTTTCTGATTTCAAATACTGTGTATATTTTCAAATCTGCACACCATAAAAAGATGTATCATTTGGGAAAGTGTTAAAAAGGACATAGAAAACTGAATCCATGTATTCAATAATAAAATGCATACAAATTGAGGTTTTAGAAAATTATAAATGACACAAGTTATTTATAAATCTAGATTGATCTTCAAATTCTTAATTAAAATGTCTTGGCTAATATATTTGTTTTATTTGTTTTAACAGCTAATTTATTTCACATGTGAATACTGACATCTGCAGGTTGTATGAATGTTTTGTTATAGATTGGCAAATACTTCACAAGAATTGTCCAGAAATATATTTATTTGCTACACTGTCAACATTATTATGAAAACTTCAAATTGTTTTACACAAAAAATACCCTGTAATAAAAAGTGTTTACAGAATTACCAAACAGCATATACATTAAATTGGATGGGAGGAAATGCAGGAAAAAATAAAATATAACATAACAACAGAAAAAGTATTCAATCAGAAATGAAATGAATGAAAAGATGATTCTTCAATAGCAGGAGCAGTGTAATAGTAGATGCCCCTGAAATATTTCAATTAGTAGGGACTATGGCTGAGAAATCTGTGAGTAACACATAATCCACATTTAATAACACCGCAATAAGATCTCCCAAGATTATCTTAGTGATCATGCAAACTTACACCAGGGAAGGTGATCTTTGTGTCCTTGTTTCAAGTTGACTAAGGCTTTATATGCCTTATAAAGTATTTAATATTAAAATATTAAACTTGACCCAATATAAGATAAGATAACCTTTATTGTCATTTTTTTTACTGTGGGCACAACGGCACACATCAAAAATGAAATTTAGTTGCCCGCTCTCAAAGTGAAACACATACATGACGCACACCTAAACATACTATGAACAACATATGTATAGACCCACATCCCTACATGTACGTAGCAAATAAATATTAAATACTGTCCATCTTGAATATATAACGGGAGGAGGAAGCTTGAGAGTTCACAAGGTTAATACTGTATGGAATGAAACTATGGCTGAATCTGGATGTTCTGCTACAGATACCACGAAGCCTCCTCCCAGAAGGTAACAAGGAAAACAGGTTGTGAAGAGGATGTGTAGTGTCCCAGATAATCTTACGGACCCTGCTCAAACAACACTCCTGTGCTATGTCCTGGATGGGAGGGAGAGAACTGCCAATGATCTTTTCGGCCATTCTCACCACTTTCTGCACTGCCTTCTTGTCTGAAGCAGTGATGCTTGCAAACCAGACTGTGATGCTGTATGACAGGATGCTCTCGATCGTCCCCCTGTAGAAAGTGGTCAGGACAGGGGAAGGAAGATGTGCTTTTCTCATGCAATGCAGAAAATGCAGGCGTTGCTGTGCCCGCTTCACCAGTTTCTCACTGTTGAGCGACCAAGTCAACCTACTCGTTAGCTGCATACCCAGGAATGTGATGCTGGTAACCATCTCCACAGGTGAATCATTAATGCACAGAGAAGTGTGGCTGTGCCTGCCTTTTCTGAAATCAACAATGATCTCTTTGGTTTTTCTGGTATTTAAAACTAGGCTGTTTTCCGTACACCAGTTCACCAACCCCTCAACCTCATTGAGGTAAGCTTCCACCTTGTCATCCTGAATAAGGCCCACTACTGTTGTATCATCTGCAAACTTCACAATATGGTTGGTGGCAAACCTAGCACAACAGTCATGAGTCAACAGGGTGAACAGCAGCGGACTTAAGACGCAGCCCTGAGGAGAACCTGTGCTCAAGAAAATAGTATTAGAGGTATTTGTTCCAACTTGCACATATTGGGGCCTGTTGGTAAGAAAATCAAGAATCCAGTTGCACAAAGGAGTGTTTAAGCCTAAAAGGCCCAGTTTGTCTACTAGATGCTGGGGAATGATATCTAATTGGTAACCAATTGTTTTAGTTCATATGAAATGAAGTTGCTTCAGCCTAGATGAAATATGTAGATAGTGACCCTCAACAACCTGGCCAGCACAGTCTACATCAACTGCATCTTATGCAATCAACACAAGAGTAGTCCCACAAAGAGGACACTCTAGTAATCTAAATGTGGAATTACAGGTGCACAGACAACAGTTCTTAAGCTACCCATGTCTGGATGAAAAAAATAACTGAAACTAGAAAAAGGCATTCTCAACCTAGAGATCACAGTGACTATTCTAGGAACACCTAAGGTATATTTCCTGTGCTAAGAGTGTGTCTCCCTATTGAGAAAACTCCCAAATTCCCATGCCAAGGATCCATTCATTCACATCCATCCACTGACAAGATTCAATATTGATTTCTTTGTTCTCATCCAACCAATTCTAGATACCACTTTGGAGCATACATATATCCTGCTGAATCAAAAGTCATAAATATCACCAGCACATTGATGGCAACTCCTAATGGCTGCTCTCATAGAGAACAAGATAATGCCTTATAATATTGGTAGTCTAACTGCCCAGATGCCAGGGCATAAATTAGTATTAGCTCATTAGTAATAAAAATTATTGAAAGATCCTGCAAAACCATAAAAGGTCTATTTCTTTCCCACTTGAGATCATTGATCAGGATAATGAAGAGTGATTCATTCATATACCCAGCTCTTAATCCAGACAGAAGTGAATTAAGATAATTTCTTTGAAAAATGTTGGCTGTCTTCTCCAAGTGTCCAAAATGGGGGAATGCAGTAATTGGGCAGTAATTGTTATAAATTTCTGAATCTTGTAAAGTTTTTTTAAGATGTGGATGCATCACTATCTTTTGTATGACTAGCAGTACCACTTATTACATAAAACATTTATACTCCTTGGATTCACTAGTCACACAGACACTAGCTGCATTGAATAAGCCAAGATGGGTAAGGCTCAGTTGAACACACTGTAGGCCAGTGACGGCGAACCTTTTAGAGACCCAGTGCCCAAACTGCAACCCAAACCCCACTTATTTATCACCGAGTGCCAGGTGGACATGGCCGCCATGGTCATGGCAGACTGGGTGGGCGGGGTCAGGGCGGCAGGGGCCAGTCCCTCGCCATCTCCGGGCATGGTACGCGTGCCCACAGAGAGGGCTCTGAGTGCCACCTCTAGCACGCGTGCCATAGGTTCGCCACCACTGCTGTAGGCTATCTAGCTACCAGTATCTTGTCCATGTTCTCCAGCCTCAAAAATTTAAAGAGATCCTACATAAGTGGACCAGACAATGCACTGACCCTATCTCTAGATATTATATCAAGAGAAAGATACAAGAGTCCATTGGAGCTGGGCAGCTGATAAATCTTAAGGATGGATGGATAGTGGAGGGAAGGAGGGAGAGGAAGGGGAGAAGGAAAGAGAATGATAGATAGGTAAGACAGAAGTTCTAACATAAAATTGAAAAGAGAATTTGCTAAGATGATGGATATGCAGATCGCAAAGAAAGTTAAATATTTAGGAGTTCAATTAACAGCAAGATGTGTAACTATCAAAGAAGATAACTATGATAAATTGAAAGCGCAAATTAAAATAGATTTGGAAAATTGGAAAAAAAAATTGGAACAAAATTCATGTATGGTTAGAAGCAATGATAAAACAACATATAGATCTAAAACCAGAGATATTCATACTGGGCATGTTACCAGGAAATTATAATAAAGGTAATACTTATTTAGTTTTACATATTTTAACAGCAGCTAGGATAGCATATGCACAATTTTGGAAAAATGAAGAAACTCCTACAGAGGATAATATAATTTAAAAAATACTGGAATGCGCAGAAATGGATAGGTTAACGTTAAAAATTAAAGAAAAAGAAGAAACGGAATATTATATGACATGGGACCTATTTTACCAATGGTTAGCTGATAAAAACAGAGGTTAGAAAATTGGAAATATGAGAATATGTGGATTATGTGAGCAAGATTTATAATGGATTAGTAAATACTTTGATTGTTATATAACTAACGTTAATGTGGGTAATACTATTTTCAATATTTTGATTGCTATTTTTTAGTATATGATTGTATTTTGATAAGATTATGAATGTGATGATTATTATATTTTAATACTTGTATACCTCGACAACACACTGTTCAATGTAGAAATGGAATTTTTAAAATAACAATAATCACAATCACAATAATAGAATATCCAACATAAGATCATCTAGAGCAGGGGTGTCAAACTGCCGGCCCGGATGCTTCATGCTGAAACTGCGCCTGCCCCATTGCCGGCAATGAAGAAAACATTGTGATACATCTACAGCAAATGACAATATGCCTTTACCCATTCCAGAAAGCTCTGCTTGCTGTGTATTTGCAGGATCTAAAGCAAATCTTTTTTTCATTCTTGTGCAATAGGCATAGTTATACATTGTTGTGTTTGTTCAGCAGGCCTCAGAATGGATATTAATTACATCATTTGCACTCCAAATGGTGTCCCTTGATCTATTTCATTGCCTGGAGCTCCCCAGAAAAGCAGGGAGTTTAGGCTGTGAAAAGCCAAAAAGGGCATTTGGAGGCAA